TCGTCTTAATAAATAACATCGTACTGTAAAAAAGAAAATATATATGGTATCGAGTAATTTAAAAAAATAAATTAGACCTCGAATTTTGAAATTGCTGGATGAATTTTGCAAGAAATAATTAGAACACATAATTGTGCTTCTTTACAGTTGTAAACAATATTTGTAGAAATATTTTATTGATAAGTTCAAACTTTCATAAAATCGAGTTTACGGGATAAAGATAATTCCTTCAAGTTGTGAATTTACATATTTGTAAATAAAACAACATTTTTCGTAAAAATATCATAATTCAAATAATTTTTTCTTATATCTTTAAACAGATGTTGTAGTCGAATAGTCGAATATATGCTAAATTTTTCAACCCAATTTTCATCAATCTCTGTTTTAAATCGTTATTACTCTTTCCTATATTGATAAAGTATCACCACGTTCAATACAATAAATAATTTTCGAAACGGATCTGGCAACACTGTCCATATTTTTTGATTTCCGCGGTGCAATACTTGGCTAAGTCGATATGACAGGATGTGACACGAAAATGGTAAGCGGGTCATATGCCTCAAAATCTGGGACACGAAAAAGAATTGGATGTCCGGTCTATGCAAGTTAGTCAATGGTATCATTTTACTTGGTATAGTTCTCCAAGCCACAGACGCTGTGTTTAATCGTAGAGTGCGCTAAAAACCAGTGATTCTTTTCTTGGTCGATATTTCAGACTCTGATACACGAACTCCCATTTCATGTCTGATCTATTCCGTGTTTAGTCAATGATAATAGAAATATATTTCATTATCACATAAAGAAGAACGAGTTATGGTCCTGAAACGTCGATTTCTTTTCGGCAAGATGTCATCGTTGCGAAAATGTAAACGTTCCTAGTCATATGCAGCTTTTAAATTTAAATAAAAGAGCCATGTTGATAATCAGTCATTGAACATTATAAATTTTTCTAATAAGGAATAAAAAGAAAGAATGATAAAATAAAATTTTACCACACGGTAAAATTATTAAAATATAGGATTTATCAAATGTTATAATATGCACATCAAGATGAGTGGATGATTATATTTTTAGCGTTGTTAGGGAAAGATTATAGAATACAAGAGTCTGACATACATTTCAATACGTAGAAATAATTAATTACCAATTAAATAAATGTTATTGTTATCATTATCATCATCATCATCATCTTCATCATCTTCATCATCATCATCATCATCTTCATTATCATTATTATCTTTACAATAAAAATAAATGATACATTTGAAATCGTTGAAAGATTTATCGATTGGAATTGTTACAAATATTAGTAAAATTATAATTGACTGTTACTTATTGATTTGAAACAAATATAAATTGGCACAAGCAACAACGACTTTTTTGGCCAATCCCTTAAATAGCCGCTTCTTTTAAATGCGATATACTTTTCTACTCCGTGATCGTTGTATCGTTACGTATTTCGAAACGAAACTGTAGCAAGTATATTAATCGCAATTAAGAGAAATTATTCGAGTGGTTAATTTATTTTGCGATGCATTTTGGAGATAAATGAATCGCTTATGCACAATTGGATTACATTTTCGTGAAATAAATAGCCTATTAAGAGGAAGGACTCAGAATTTGCGCAGCAGCTGATGTGTAAAGATGGCCAAGCTCATCAATACAAACAAATAGTGGTCAGTGATGTGCTGGTTTTATAATTGATTGCACGTAAAGGGTGAGTAAATTTCACTCGTGTAAATAACACGGATAAACAGTTCCATTCTCTGTTTGTTGTAATATTTTCTAAAAGATATTTAGAAATCTCGGAAATATCGAATGATAAATGACATCTGTCCTGACCTGCTCAATAAAACTCATTCACATCGAATTTACGACAGCATTGTCTCCACATGGAGATTTTTGCTAATCGATCCTTTTGAACTGGTTCTGAATTAATTTTGAACTGATATGCTGTTTGCTGTTTTATCGAGGCCTTTCTGATAAATTATAGGGCTTATCGTATTTTTTAATTTGGCCTTTTCAAGCCAAAAGTGTGAAATTCAATCTCTTAAATCATTAATGCAATTTTTTTTTTTTAACGATTCTTTCTCATTGTTTTTTAACTGATGATTTTTATATTTATAATTGCATATTATATAATTTTATATTTATAATTGCATATTATACGTTAAGTCCTGTTAATTTTATATTTTTATATTTATAGGCAAATGATAAGGACATTTATTTTGTCGCACATTAAAAGATGGCTTATGATCCACGCAATCTAAAATTTCCATCAGACATGCACAGCCATCAGCATAATCAGCCTAATATGAATGGATACACATATTCTGGACATTCGGTACCTCACGTTCAACAAACAGATGAAAACAGAAATGAAAATAATTGTGGAAATAAGGAAACGTGTCCACAAATATCTCATCAATCTTCGGGTACACAGACTATTCAAAAAGTAGATGCAGCAACTATGACTGATCCATTGCAAATAGACTTTAAACTTACTTCTGAGTACTTAGCACGATGTTCTAGTACGTTAGATTTACCTTATGTAACTAAATATGAAGAAAATAGCAATAATTCTACACATAATTGTCAAGAGATTCAATCAGAAATTGAATATGAGGTTGAGCCACAACATATCAATGGTAAACACATATAAAAGGATACAGCAGAAGTCTGTCTAAAGAAATTTGTTATCAGATCTTTTATTTCAGGTATGTTAATCTATCATTGTCCAGAGTGTGCATACAGATGTGAAGACAGAGAGATATTGCATGAACACTTAGAAGATCACAGGCAACGACCTCACATCTGTGATATTTGTGGTGCAAGTTTAAAACGCAAGGAGCATCTAGATCGTCACAAACAAGGACACAATAAAGATAGGCCTTATCAGTGTAATATGTGTCGTAAAGCATTTAAACGCAATGAACATCTTGCACGTCACATGATTATACACTCAGGTAGAAAAAATCAAGTTTGTACAGAATGTGGTAAAGCATTTTACAGAAAGGATCACTTGAAAAAGCATTTGCAAAGTCATAATAGTAGCAGAGGTAAAAATTTAAATAGTTCACAGAACAATCAAAATAATAGTGATGAAGGAGGATTAAGTAGTTTTGCAATGATGATGAGGCAGGCTGGGCCACCTCCGTTTTCTATTTTGAGAACTTAATACATTTTTATTTTAATCTTAAAGCAAAGTTGTTTTATCTTAATCTTAAAACAAATGTAGGCAATTTAAATCTAAGAGATTGATACAGCGAGCTTTATCAGAGACACATTCATGATGTAACAGAATAGTTGTTGATGGTTCAGAATTTTGCGGTTACATACGTATATTAGTCTGTGAACGCTACTTGTAACGTAGCTAATTGTAAGGAACAAATGGGCTCTAATATAATTCAGCAAATTTTATATTTCTCTTTTTAATGCGCCTCTAATATGCACAATATTCTTAAAGTAAGAATGTACCTGTTAAGAGCAGTTTTTTTG